AGGAGTGTCTCTGCCCCCATCATTCAGCACCGGACACTGAGGTCCAGGTCCGAAGGCCCTTCTGGCGGTTCCCTCACTGCGAGAAGTGAGGTTGCAGGGAACCAGGCAAAGCGCCTTCTTGGTAGTGGCGCCCACCCTGTGGAATGCCCTCCATCAAATGTCAAGGAAATAAACATCTACCTGACTTTTAGAAGACATCTGAAAGCAGCCCTGTTTTAGGGAAGGTTTTTAATGTTTGAATGTTTGATCGTGTTTTTAATATTCTGTTGGGAGCTGCCCAGAGTGGCTGGGGAAACCCAGCCAGATGGGTGGGGTATAAAATAATAATTATTATTATTAAATGGACTAGGACCTGGGAGACCAGGGTTCAAATCCCCACTTGGCCATGAAGCTCAGTGGCTGACCTTGGGCCAGTCACTGCCTCTCAGCCTAACCCACCTCACAGGGTTGTTTGTGGGGATTAAATGAGGAGGGGGAGAACCCTGTACGCTACCTTGAGCTCCTTGGAGAAAATGGTGGGGTGTAAATAGGATGTATGGGGTGTTAGGTGATGGGTAGTACCTCCAACGGGGACATGCAGTGCTCCTTCTGGGGTAGTTTGTCCGGCTTTGGTCCCCATCCTGCACTCAGCTCTCATCTATGGCTCTAGAAACTTAGCATGTGACAGTGGCCACACCCCAGGAAATGGCTTTGACTGGCTGGCTAAACCAGGTGAGGGTAGCCGATGGGTTTCAAACCCTCAGTGAGTTAGGGACTCCACCTATATGTGAAGACAGGCACCAGTGGATTGACTGGACAAGACCAATAGTGGGTCCAACGGTCAAGAAGGCATTTTCTGCTGATGCAGAAGAGGGAATTGAGGGGCAGATTGGACTCTTCAACCTGGGAATGTAGGCCATCAAGGAGGAGGAAAACTCTGAACCATTGCTTTGTGGGATATCTTCTGGAGAAGAAAAGACTAAGGAATAAACACTACTCAAATCCGAAGTGGAGTCCCCTAAGATGGTGGCATGTTGCCTTGTACACCTGCTTCTGGCAACTCCAGCAGCCAAGCTGGTGCCAAACATACTGCTCTGCTTTCCTTTCTACCACATCAGCGAGGTCAAGTGTGGGGGTCTTGTCATCTGGGGCAGCCCGGACCTCCATGCACACTGCCCAGGCTTGTGCCCTGGAGAAGTCACTTCAGTGCTGGAAATGCAGTGGTTTGATGTCACCCATGGAGGTGCACTCCATTGTCTCTTGAGATAGACAGATGTCAACAACAATAAATGCAACAAATAAAATTAGTAAGTCCTGATGTCAGCTAGAGCATCTTTTCAGCACGTTTGCCCCCTTTTTGCCAGGGATGGGGAACCTGTGGCCCTCCAGCTGTTTGTTGGACTTTGTTAGGATGGATAATGGTCCAGGATGATGGGTTTTGTAGTCCAAAGTATCCGGTAGCATAACTTACAGACCAGCAGTATATGATAGTTTGAAGTCCACCAGCACATGTTAGGTCACAGCTTTTCCCATCCTTGCTTTGCTCACTCTCCAACTTCACCTTCATTGACCCAAGAGTTTCTTGGACCACTTCCACCTCATCTTAGCCTGCATCTCTTGCCTGCTGTCAGACTCTTGGGTCTCTTTAAACTCCCTTCGCCTCATTTGGCAGTCGTTGGACCTTTCCCCACCATCTCTGTCTCAGCCCGTCTTGTCGTTTGCAAATTCCCACAGAGAAAACAACCATGTCACACTTCGCTGTTGTTGTTTGTTCTGCACAACGCTAGCACACTGGGGACAGCCTGATTGCTTGTCTCCTACCCATCCTCCAAAGCTCTTGGGTGGTATAGCCCACCTGGGACTGTAGAGAAAAAGGTAAGAGTTGACATGATGAAAGTTTGTAAAAATTATGCGTGGCATGGAGACGGTGAATAGAGAAAAGGATTTGTCCCGCTTTCCTAATGCTAGCACTCATGGGCATCCGATACAGTGTCGGAAGGTTCAGGACCAATAAAAGAAAGTATTTCTTCATGCAATGCATAGTTAAACTTTGGAACTCTCTGCCACAGGAGGCACTGATGGTCACCAAGTTGAATGGCTTTAGGAACACTATCTACTGTCGCCTTCCCCTGGCGATCCTCTGCTTCTGAATACCAGTTGCATGCAGACTTCTTCAGATACACTGAAACAGAAGTCACCAGACCCTTATATATAGTGAGAGGGTGGGGAGGGGTATTACTCAGAATTGCAACTTATTACCAGACTTAAAACCACGGAGAGACCTGGTCTGAATAGAGACATTGGATTCTTATCTCATTATACTTGATAAAGCTATTTTTAGCCATCTCACCCCTTGCTTTTTCCTGTAAGACCAATTGCAGTCGTTAACAGTCGTCAACAGGTTTACCACACCTATCAGCCAATCACCCACTCCCACCACCCTTCTGAGTAATATGCCTCCCCACCCTCTCACTATATATAAGGTCTGGTTTCAGTGTATCTGAAGAAGTGTGCATGCACACCAAAGCTCATACCAATAAGAAACTTAAAGGTAAAGGTAAAGGGACCCTGACCATTAGGTCCAGTCGTGACTGACTGGAGTTGCGGTACTCATCTCGCTTTATTGGCCGAGGGAGCCGCGTACAGCTTCCGGGTCATGTGGCCAGCATGACTAAGCCGCTTCTGGCAAACCAAAGCAGCACACGGAAACGCCGTTTACCTTCCCGCTGGAGTGGTACCTATTTATCTACTTGCACTTTGACATGCTTTCGAACTGCTAGGTTTGGCAGGAGCAGGGACTGAGCAACAGGAGCTCACCCCATCGTGGGGATTCGAACCGCCGACCTTCTGATTGGCAAGTCCTAGGCTCTGTGGTTTAACCCACAGTGCCACCCGCGTCCCTAATAACAAACTTAGTTGGTCTCTAAGGTGCTGTTGGAAGGATTTTTTTTTATGTGCTTATGTATGGCTTCATAATGTGGGTAGGGAAATCACATGCATGTCTGCCCTCCCACAACAACAGCTCATTTCAAGTGGAAAGCTATCTGGATTAGACGCTGGATAGAAATAGGATTGATACATAATTTTACCCTTCTAAGATTAGGCGGAGACTGACTCAACCTTGGCTACCCAGCCAGGGTGTTTGATGGCAGCTGAGGCAGGCTTGCAAACAAGGAAAGATTTGAGAAAGGGGATTTGGGAATTGTCTGCAGTTTGGAGCAGGGATGCTGTCCCATGCACATGTGCACTTAATGTGGAGGTGTCACTTGCAGAATTCACAGACTTTCTAGGAAAAGTGAGGATGGGGAGTAAGAATTTTGTACCAAGTCCAGAAATTCCTCTTGCCAGTCCTGCAGTTAAATGATTACTGCTCTTTATATTTACAGAGTAGAAAACACGGGTCAAAATGCGTGTCAATTGTGGTTTGCTTCTGATGGTGCTCCATACTATGAACTCACCGCCATAAACTCAAGTGGTTTCCTGTTATGGTGCTAAGCCACAATGTCCTAAATGAAGCTATGGTTCGTGCTTTCCTCTGGAGCAGGACTGGAAACCCAGTCCAAACCATGGTTTCTGATTTCCACTAACCATAGTTCCACTAAGCATAGTTGGACACTTTGAATGGCAAACAATAGTTAAGGCTATGCAGGAAACAGTAAGGGCAGTGCGGAAACCGTACTCAACTCTGCAGCTCATTGATGATGATGCAGAACATGGTTTGGAGGATGAGCTGAACTGAGCCCCTGTCTGAAATTGGAAGGAGAAGGCCTGAAAGTGCAGTGTTACCTGCAGCACTTTGCTGTGTGTGTGTGTGTGGTTTCGCCTTCCTCTGCATGCAGAACTCTCTCCTTCTGATTCACTCTGTGATTCATACAAGAGGAGGCATAAAATGCTATTCATTTAATTAGAGCTAAAGATTTCAGGCCTCGTTTGTTCCCCAGAAGCATCAGAACATGTCACAGCTTTGGACGTTCCTCCTGCCACCTGACATTGACAGAGTGGG